AGAATCCATTCAAAGCGATTTTCATCCTGAACAGATATAGGAAGCAGAACGAATGATAACCACAAAGCAGTATACATAGATGTTCCATTTCACTTTAAGACCAGTCAACCTTGGAGTCCTAGATTAGTTTATTTACGTTACTCTTAATTCATTGAGTCTGGATTCCATTAGTTTACATTTTCGACAATAATATTTGTTCAATATCTCTGATTAGTAAGAATTATATTACCGATTCATTAGACTCCAAAGGTAACAACTTACCACTAGGAGTGAGCAGAGTAAGATGTAGAATCTATCTGTCAAGCCACTGATCTCTAGTCTGAACTGTGTCGATAGGTAAGAACTTCTTTCAACTAGAGACCAAAAATACAGGTAATTACTGAATGTATATATTTGGCAACGAAGAGTGGAATTGATTCCAGTAGCACAGATGAACTTACTCCTGACTGGATAAACACATCCCGAATTTCTAATGGAGCTAAACACGATAAAAGGAAGACAGTAGCTCGCTGATGATCTTGAATGAAGATAGTGTTACACCACAAATGGGCCATCAGATTTCAACCCTAATTTATCATACTTACTGGGATACTTGAAGGCCCCAGATTCAATTTCCTGTAAATTCGTGGTAGTCCCAATTTTTTTAATGGGTTTGCAGTTGAATACAACCACGGTCAGTGATTGGAAACGTAAGATGACATAGCCCAGAATCCGCAAATACCTATTTCTATAAGTTATTATATATTTTATATTCAGAATTTAATTAGATTGGCCGTTTGTCACGAAATCCTATGAGACAATATGATAGACGGGTATTAGAATAAATACACTACACATTAGACTAGATAATACAACTCGGCATACTAAACCAAAATATTAGACTACTGGGCTAGATTATGCTATACACAGGTACACAATTCAATCGATGATTGAGAAACGGATTATAGAGATAGAATAATTTATTCACTCAAACTACAAGCAGTTCACACACAGTGAACCGAGAACTGAAATCCCGAGGCAATTACAATACATAAATATTGATTGGTATTACAGATTATGTAGTGGACGTCTGTCCATCTGTATTCAAACGCCAACAATTCAAACACTATCAGTAATCCTAGTCAGAAACTTCAGGTTTTGTGGAGATAATATTACTTTTAGACTACTTAGTATGCATTTAATGGCCTATATATCCATCCTTAGTAAATCAGCCATATGGTCCAATTGTCATTCATTGTTTTGTTAACCTAAGTGGCTCTGTTTTCTGATTTGCTATTCATTCTCTATTGGTTTGTATATTAACTCAGTCACTTATTTACTTAATTAAATGTCTTACTACCTATTATGTAATACTGATTACTTTGTTATTTCTTTAAATATATATTGTTTACAATTTTAATGATTGGATATTGGACATTGTATTTTTTTACCTATGATTGTATAGTTTGCAACAAAAACCTTGAAGAGATAAAATGGTTAAATAAAGTTCTTTGTTTTAAGTTTATAAAAAAAATTTAAAAACATTGAAAATAAAAATAAAAATTTGTTTATTCGATGAATTTATTGATTGGCAATAAAAATTATTTATCAAACAATGCAATTACATGCAATGAGAATGATCTAAGTTAATGTAGCAAGCTACAATTTACATGTTATTATTCATTCAACTCAGATAACTGATATGATTTAGATAGAAAGTCAAAAAACATTTATACAGGGATTACTTACTTACTTTACTTACGCCTGTTACTCCTAATGGAGCATAGACCGCCAACTAGCATTCTCCAACCCTCTCTGTCCTGGGCCTACTTTTCTAGTTCCATCCAATTCTTGTTCATTTTTCTCATGTCTATCTCCATTTCCCGGCGTAATGTGTTCTTTGGTCTTCTCCTCTTCCTTCGGCCTTGAGGATTCCATGTGAGGACTTGCCTTGTGATGCAATTGGGTGCTTTCATCAATGTGTGTCCTATTCACTTCTAGCGCTTCTTTCTGATTTTCCTTCCGCTGAGATCTGGTTTGTTCTCTCCTAGGTTGTTGCTGATAGTTCTGGCCAACGGATCCGAAGCGTTTTGCGTAGACAGCTATAAATAAACTTTTATCTTCTGGTTGACGGTTTTCGTAATTCTCCAGGTTTCCACCCCATACAGTAGAACTGTTTTGACATTTGTATTGAAAATCATGACCTTGGTGTCGGTTGACAGATAGTTGTTTTGAGTTCCGGATGTTTTTCAGTTGTAAATATGCTGCTCTCGCTTTGCCGATCCACACCTTCACATTTGCATCAGATCCACCGTGTTCATCAATGATACTGCCCAAATATGTAAAGGTATTTACATCTTCCAAATCTTCTCCGTCAATTGTGATTCGATTGGTGCATGCTGTGTTGTATCGGAGAATCTTGCTTTTTCCTTTGTGTATATTGAGACCTACCGCTGCTGAGGCTGCTGGTACACTGGTCTTCTTCTCCTGCATTTGTTGTTGCGTGTGCGATAGAAGAGCCAGATCATCTGCGAAGTCCAAATCGTCCAGCTGCATTCTAGCTGTCCACTGTATCCCGTGCTTCCCCCCAGATGTTGACATCTTCATGATCCAGTCGATCACCAGGGGAAAGAGACAGGTTGAGAGTAAGCAACATTGCCTGGCTTTATACATTGATGATATATCTTAATCTTTGGTCAACATTTACTTTTGTTTGCTAATTACAAAATTAAATGATCATTAGTGGTTGTTTTGTGTTTTTCATTGGATAAATAATTTACTTATTTTAAGTTAATTGAGTATTTTTATACAGATTTGTTTGAATGCAATATTTTTAGTCAAATGACAATGTCTATCCTTTAAAAACTGTTCAGTGGATAGCTAGAAGAGTGGGGGGTGAGCTTAGATGTATGTTTTGTAGGCGATTTTGAACAGTTCTACAACTGTAGTTATTTCATTAATCTAAATTAATTAATTATTCTATCAGAATAATAATAAAAACGTGAAATTACATAAGGGTCGAAGAGTGATCAAAGTAATATAAACCAAATAGAAAGTCAAGATTCTAACCGTTCAATCTATTAAATTGAATAACAGTATAAATTAATTATTTTAGAATATCGAACAGCTTTCTTTATTTCAGTGTTAAATAAATTGTTCTTTATATGAATCAAGATGGACGTTGTAAATGTTGACTTAAAGTGTTAAGTGTTCTTAGTAATAACACGAGTTCGTACGAAATGACAAAAATAAGAGTAAAATACAGTAACAGCATAAAATGTCACTCATTATGTATTACCGACATTTATGATGTAACAAGGAGACTAGTTGATTCACTTAATCGTTAGCAAGAGTAAAACTTTAATCATCTGAGTTGGTTGATGGGTGCCGCTAATAAACTCTTTACTAAATTTCAACTTAATGTAACTAAGTACAGGTTTGTTGAACTATGAATACTATTCCACTGACCTTGATTGACATTGAAAGTGACTTTGGTATTATCAGCCAATAAGTTTACAGACTCAAAATAAGGACTATAGATAAAACAGTAATGAAAATAACATACATGTAGTGGTGTTACTTAGCTTATGAGTTTTTCAAGGTCCATAAATAAATAATAAAGAAAATCAGTATATATTTGGGATATTTATCATAACACAAATACTTTTACAAACAAATATATTATTTATTTACAACAATCAACCCAATGCTCAATTTATTCGAAATTATCAAATCAAACTTTGGTAATGATGCCTACTTTTACAAACAGTTCCTCATAGTTTTAACAATATCTGTGCACACTTGCTGAATTGTCGATGAAATGATATTGAATCAGTGGTCTAAAAATCATGTAAATGAATTTCGTAACTTGTGTAAGTAATCTGTATGACATACTCGAACCAGTAATAAAACGATTTATTTGAGGGTTCGATCCATACAAAAATAAAGCAAAAACTATGACATTTCGTCATTCAGTGTTAAGATTAGAGGTTATGCTTAGAGGTTTTAGTTATGAGTAATGATTAAGAATAGAGTGACAACATACTTCTATGTATATCAATGACTACGAATTGCAAGAAGCCTTAGTTATCCTTAAGACTTCATTAACTATTGTCTGTATTGCGTTAATCCCCTAATTTTTATCAATTTCACTTATCTTATTAACTAAATATTAGTAGGTACTACTTAGCTCTTGATACGTTTATCCATCCGCTTTTCAATATTCAATAAGTATGTAGTTTGCATTTTCAAGCATTTTTCCGTTCTTTTACAGCACATGCTGCCTATGAAGATATAACGTGCATTGAAAATTTCATTTGAAGCTCTAACTTTCACAATATTTGTGTTTTTCATCCACCTTGTTGAAATGCGCTAGAGACGTGTTCATAGAAGACAGATGTGAATAACTTCAGCTGCTTGAAATGAAATCTCCAGTGACAATTGTGATCTTAGATACAGCATTTATCCACTGAATGAACGAAAATACAACACTGCACAATTGTTGAACAGTGAAAGGTGGAACGATAAAATCTACAATTTGAATTTTACACAGAAATACAAAAGCCAGTTTTGATAAGTCTGATTGGCTTATCAGCAAAGTATATTTTTTACCGAAGTGTGTGTTTCGTTTAATTGTGCTGTCACGTCATATTACTTTCTCTTTAGTATAGCACAATAAACTTGTTTGTATTCCTCCTAAGCACTCATGGGCTAAATGCGATAATTTCAACCAGAGACCTGAAATCTCCATCATTGATTATAATTCACTTGGCAGCATAATACAGTTTTTCCTTGTATACTTAGATTTAGACAAAACTTTGTGACCGAATTCTGATGATAACACTCCGGTGACTAAACTGATGTAGACATGAGTTGGAGTGGAAAGTGTGTTAAGAACTTTTATTTCAGTGGTAATAAGACGAGTCCAATTAACCAATAAACCACAGATTCTTATTACTATATCAAGGACAATGATGAATAACAGTGATAACAATAAATACTAATCAAATGAAATATCTTACTTGTTTAATGATAGATTCTGTTTATCAACCAATTTTTCCACATAAACATTTTGGTTTTGGTTAACTAAACATTTATCTTTTTTTGATTCAGAATCATGTTGAAACAATATATTATTATTTATTCCATCCACTGCATCAGTATCATTTGTATTCATTAAATGTTGAAATACTTCCTGAACATCTTTTGGAATATTAATGCTTTGATTTGGTCTAATAGTTATTGAAGTTGTTGTTTTTGTTGTCGGTGTTGTTGTCATTGATAAACGATTATTTGACTGATGACTTTGATTGCAAGGTACCGACAATAATGATGAAGTAGATTTACATAATGGTTTGATATCTAATATGGTCTTATAACTGACAGTTGGTTGGTTTTGGTGTTGTCGTTGTTGTACAAGACTCTTTTCATTTTCTACATTATTTATCGTCTCATTATTATGGAATAGTAAGTCTAAAGAACTAGAATTCAGTAAATGACTCATATCAGTAGTAAGTGGAGTAGTATTTGTCACTTCATTCGTTACATTTAATTGTGTTCTAATATGTTGAAGTGCATTTTTTATTTGATCCTTTACAACATAATGATTATGCATAAAATACATAAGAACAAATAAGTATTATACAAAAATAAAAGTTATTCAAATTAGAATAATTTATTTATAAGTTCACTATTAAATGAGACGGGTGTTCTATTTATACTACGTTCAGTAATATTCTTCATAAGATTTTGCAAAAATAAATTTCGAAATAAACTATTACTTCAACCGGTCAATAGAATATAACATTAAAGTATAAAGATATTCATTTCCTTTCATAACAGATAGTGAATTTAGGCAATCAATTAAACTAAGAAATATATAAATACTTAACCATACAAACACGACATTAACTATAAATAATCAATCCACGATTAGTTGAACTCAGACATTAACACCGTTGGATACCAGCTCAGTGGTCGAAATGTTATACATTCGTGAGTCAGACCAAAGGTCCTGGGCTCGAATTCCGCGTGCGCACTGCTGAGGAGTTCCATACTAGGATGAAACGACCATCTAGTGCTTTCAGATTTATAATGGTGATCTAACATTGATCGATTCATGATCTCAATCAAAAACTCAACAATCTCCACAATCCCACACTGATATAAGTAGTCAGATGAATAGTGGGAAGTATACAATTGTCAGTTATAGATCATTTCATAGAGTTATTGGCTACAGGTCTTTAAGATTATACGATAACAAATGCTTATCATGTTCAACAAATTATACTGAATCAGAAAGATTTAAAGTCTAGTATTTAGTACTTTCTTCCATTTTCATTTGAATTAATTACTACAACTTACTCAAGTTGGATAGTCAGATTAATGTTCTATGTTTCACAAGATTCAATCTATGTTTCACCATAATGCTGGAAATACTAAGTGGTTTCAGTTAGTTATCAAAATAATAAAACAGAAATTTGAACTTTCATTAAAACAATGGTGGTCTAACATCACTCGGTTCATGATCTCAATCAAAAACTTGACAATCTCCACAACCCCTAAACTAATAATTAAAATGTGCTCACTAGTGACTAGCTTCGTGGTAAAATTCTCGGAGTTCTGGTGAGAAGTCGTGACCAGTGGAGCTAATCCGTGTCGGGTAGAAACAGGTATCTACCTCAGTAAAATGGAAGATGGTCGCACAGTTTCGTGGATTGGTTGAGGTTAGAAATTAACATCGTTGGATGCCGGCCGGCTCAGTGGTCCAGTAGGTTAAGCGTTCGTGCGCGAGACTGAAGGCCTTGGGTTCGAATCCCGCGAGGCGGGATCGTGGATGTGCACTGCTGAGGAGCCCCACAATAGGACGAAACAGCCGTCCAGTGCTTCAAGGTTTTCAATGGTGGTCTAACATCAATCGGTTCGTGATCTCAATCAAAAACTTGACAATCTCCACAACCCCTAAACTAAAAATCTGATTATTTTAACCTGAACTAATCAAATGTTCTCTGTTATTATCTTCAGTACAGCATAAAAACTAGTTACGAATAAATTGCTGAACTTATACACACATATAAGATTTGAAAGCTATACTGAAAACACAAGCAGTAATATGGTGATTTGATTAAATATTATTGTTTAGGATCATAAAACTATCATTGAGTAACCGCGGGAAAACAGGTTTTGATTTTATAAATTTGTGAACTATAAAGTTTCCATGTTTTTATCTAATCAAACTTGATTATTCTGGCTGTTTTGATCGATGACATGATGTTTTGAACGACAGAAATCAAAAATCTCGACAGAGGCTGATAAATGAAGTGAAAGCGAAGCAAGATTTAGTTGATCAAATGGTAGAATCCCTAAATAAAATAACTAAAAGATAATGAATTATCGTCTGAAATTAGCAGTCTACAAATAAATTAATCTTATAAGCGATTTTATTTGATTAGTGTTTGAAAATAACCAGCAAGATAATGAACTATGTGTTGCCCTACTCAGAACCGATTATTTGAGTAAATGGATATTATTTAGCTCTAGTCAGTTATTTATCAGTCATAATTAACACAGAGCCTGCATAAGTCCGAATTAACTTAAGTTTCCACAATAAATTAGCGAAGACGAGTGAAATCACCAAGATGAATACTATAGTGCCGGAAGTAGTAAAAGCATCAAGGATAGTGAAAGAGGTTAGACATAAAGGATAAGATCCAATAATAAAGAATGAATTCGCGGAATAAGATCTGTAATACAATTTTAAAGCTGGGGATCTAGGGGAAGATCACAAATGAATGAATCTGTACAATTTTAGCTAGATGAACACCATGTCTGCCAAAGCTACTACTACCTCTGTTACTCCTCGTGGAAGAGCACAGGTCGCCTACCAGCATTCTACATCCAACTCTGTCTTGGACAATCGTTTCTGTTTGTTATTCATCCTTTTGATGTCTGTTTCCCATTACCGGCACGGTGTTCTTCTTGGTCTCCTACCATTCCTTTTCCCTTCAGGATTCAAAGTTAGCGCTTGCCTCGCGATGCAGTTTGGTGATTTCCTCAATGTGTGCCCTATCCCCTTCCAGTGTCTTTTCCTAATTTCCTCTTCAACTGGAAGCTGGTTTATTTTCTACCACAGCAGGTTGTTTCCAATGATATCCGATCAACGGACATTCAGTATCCTGCGTAGACAATTGTTTATAAATACTTTGGCTTTTCTGATGTTTGTAGTAGTTCTCGAAGTTTCAGCTCCGTACAATGTAACTATCTCGATGTTTGTATTAAAGATTCTAACTTTGATGTTGGCCGACGGTTGTCTTGAGTTCTATATGTTATTCAATTGTAGGGATGCTGCCTTTTCCTTGCCAATCCTTGCCTTGACATGTGCATCAAATCCTCTTTGTTTATAGGTGATGCTACCCAGGTACGTGAAGGTTTCCACATCTTCCAGAGTTTCTCCATCAAGTGTGATTGGGTTGGTGTTCTTCGTGTTGTATTTGAGGATCTTTCTTTCTCCCTTGTGTATGTCGAGACCTACTGCCTCATAGGCGGGTGCTGCACTTGCTGTCTTAACCTGTCTTTGTTTGTGGTAATCCGGTGAGATTCATGTAGCTTCGTGTGTATTTGTGGGGGAATCTAAGTCCACCTAAAACTACTTTGTTGAACGCACATAAATTTACAAATCTCTCGTCATTCTCGTTCCTTTCTCTAAGTCTATTTCGTCCCATGATATCTTCATACCCAGTGTTGTTTATTCCGACCTTGACGTTCATGTCCTTTCCTGGGCACTGCATACCCTCATAAAACTTATCTTTATTGTCGTCATTGCTATGATTGGTGGGTGCATAACTATGGATAACATTTATTGTGATCTCCTTTGTTTTGGATGATGCTTTGACGATTCTGGATCCATCAGATTCCCATCTATAGGTGCTTTGCGTACTTCTTTGGACAGCATTAGTTCAAATACCTACTTTTGCGGGGTATTTTCTTCTTTGCGACCAGAGTACAGCAGCATCTCTCTCGAACCTAACCTTTTATATCTTCCCAGATGGGGTCTATTGGGTTTCATTGACCCCGAGCACCACCAAGTTGTATCTCCTCAGTTATTCGTTTGGTCAACCTGGTCTCCCACATCGTCCGAACATTCCATTTACCTTTATTATTTGTTGCTCTGGTCTTTAGAAAGGGCATCGGTCTCGTGACTTCTGGAGAATTTCGACTTTCACCATGAGGCTTCATAATTGTTCTACATGAAAATCTTTGTACTTCCAGGGCAGAGTTTAGATGGTTTAAATTGTTTATTCTGGTTAGCATTTTTAGCAATATTGTTTTCTACGAGATAGACTCGGGATCCAACCCGGGCTTGGGACCGGCAATAATCCTAGAGGAGCTATAAGTGGAGTTTGCCAAAGGTAGTATGACAGCTAGTATTCAAATGCATAAATTCTCGTGTTAAATACCAGTCTTATTGAACAATCTAATAACGAATGCTCCTTTAGTCTCAATTACTATTCAAAAATTATCATATATAAACTAAAATTAAAAATTCCACAAGTTTAAAGCAATTAATCCCTTTGATAAATTTTGATAATGTAATAAGAAGACGGAGATTATCAGAACTATGTGATATATTAGCGCAATACATTTCGAACAACCTGTCTACATCACCTTACCATTCAGAGGTAATTCAAATGGCCTGTTATTGAAACAAAGACTTAAATCAGTCATCAATAAAATGTATTGCGCAGCAAAGGTCATTGTCAAAGAAAGAACAAGGTGCATGTTTCATCCAAAACCTAAAAGGCATGAAAACGATTGTGTCACATCCCACTGTGTTTACCAATTTAAATGTGTGTGTCGTCACACATTCATAGGGAGGAGCAATCGTGATCTCAACATTAGGGTGAGTGAACATGTACCCAAATGGCTGCAGAAACAAATACAATCAAGTGACCCAATAAGAGCAGAGGATAAACATCCCTCATCCTCTATTGCTAAACATATAATTGAAACATGGCATAAGATTGATCTAAACTCGGCTTTTATGGTTTTGTATAAAAGTGTAAAAGGGCGTATACTAAGGTTTATTGAAGCCTTAGCCACACGAAAGGTCAAACCCCCTTTGTGTATTCAAAAACAGTTTGTCCTTACCTTAAACCTACCCTGGTAATATTGACTTATTATCCAGAGTGATTAGGTTTTGAATTGTGTTCAGATTAATATTATTACTTTTATTATTGTTATTATTATCCTTATCTCTTCTTACCCCATTTCCAGTCTAGTTGACCTTTTATTTTTATATATAAATGCTCTTAACAAGTATATGTGTGATCAGATTGTTCGAAATGTATTGCGCTAATATATCACAAAGTTCTGATAATCTCCGTCTTCTTATTACATTATCGAACTTCTACAACTGTTCAATGATGAACCAACTGTGTTCTGTACAGAAACAGCTGAATATTCTAAAAAGAGAATATTATGACATAACTTCTAAAAATGAGTTAATTACGCAGTAATTTATATTCTACTGAATTTTATTATATTACTCGTATATATATATATATATATATATATATATATATATATATATAT